AGCCCGAAGGGTATTATCCAGAATTGTCTCCGGTAGTTTTCTCCTCTCCACTTCATCTGCCGAGATGGTAATGGCCGGTAACTCATACGAAAGCCAACAATCATCCATCATGTCCGGCATGTGAGAGGGTTTCTAAATAATTCGACATATTACGCCGTATGAATCGGGCTCTTGAATGGTGGGAGAGACCTCTTCAACGATGACAGGGGCCTCTTGAACGGTGGGAGGGGACTCTTGAGGGATGATAGGGGCCTCTTGAACGATAGGAGAGGCCTCTTGAACATTGGCAGGTGAGTCGGGCTTCTTCTTACGGAGTCTTCGCACTTTTGGGGTGAACGGAGACGTAATGGCACGTGCACGCCGTCTGATGCGTGAACCCCATCATGCAAGAAAAACCCGACGTAAAGCATCCAACTTATTGGGCCGCTAAAAATAAATTAAAACATAATCAGTAAATAAACCAGACATGATATTAAACAGTGAAAACAAAGACAAATATGTTTCAAACTTGCACGGTATTCACCCAAGTCATTATTCTATCATAGTTCACAAAATGCATCAGATAACATTCCAGAAGTAAACACTTATATAAACATTTAAAAGGACAACATATAGGTTTAGTGCATGTTCAAGGATAACATAAAGAATAGTAGTTTATTCTTGAAACTTAAATTTGCAACACTGTGAAGTTAGTATTTGTCTTTTGGTTGAAGTAATGCAATCCATTCAAGTTTTAATTTGCAGAAGAAGAATAGTCGCAACACGAAACTTAAAATCGCAACGCGAAAATGACTATCCCAACGAGAATTTGACTATCGCAACAAGATAATCGCAATGCGAAATAACAATCACAACGCGAAACTAAATTCGCATTGCGATTTTCATTTCGCATTGCGATTATCCCGTTGCGATAGTCAAATTCGCGTTGCGATAGTCATTTTCGCGTTGCGATAGTCATTTTCGCGTTGCGATTTTGGTTTCGCGTTGCGATTGTTATTTCACATTGCGATTATCTTGTTGTGATAGTCAAATTTGCGTTGCGATAGTCATTTTCGCGTTGCGATTTTAAGTTTCGTGTTGCGATTATTCTTCTTTTGTAAATTGAAACTTGAATGGATTACATTACTTCAACCAAAAGACAAAGACAAATACTAACTTCACAGGGTTATTTTAGAACTGTTTAGCAGTATTGGCAGCAACCGAATGAATTTACTAAGCAATCTAAGTGAAATGGTTTAATCTAAGTGAAATTACGAGTAAATCAAGTTAAATATGAAAAAAAATCTTAAACTTACCTCGTTGCGTAGAGTATGAACCTCATTCTGCAATGATACTACCATCTCACGTAGAGCCGCTACCTCACCACGTAGAGTTGATACCTCATCACGCCATGCACCATTATCATCGCGTAAATTACCGACCTCCTCACACAAGGCATTGACCTCATCACGCAACTCCCCTAACTCATCCCGTGGAGGAGGAGGTGGAGAACAGGGAGATAAAAGTCGTGGCATCTTTGCCAGTCGCCTATCATGAGGTGATGGTGGAGAAGAGGCTCGATGATGTGACGGAATAGGTGATGGCTCTCGTTGTAGAGGTGTATAGTGTGGTCGATCAGGTGATGGTGATGGCTCTGGGTGAGGTGATGGCTCTTGAAGTGGAGGCTGCTCATCATCCGTGCCATAAAAAAAAACGCTTACTAGCTTGCCACCAATCAATGGCAAGCTCAGCCTCCGTGGGTGTCAACCTCTGCAATGGAGTGTTGGCCTCCTAACAATATAAAAACTCAAATAAATTTAAACGTGTACTAATAATAACTTGTTTATATATGGTAGTATTTGTGTTAACTTACATCATTTATTGTCGTATACCGTAGTAACTCTTCCCAAATCAACAGCCGTTGTTTCCTCTTCCAGGAAATAGCCCTAGGAATATCATTTGAAGTTTTTAATGCATATGTCTGCATCTCGGGAAAAGCCTCAAATATCCAAATCTACAAACAATATAATACACAAACATTAGTAATTGTTAAATAAATTAATTATAATTTTGGAAACATTATATAGAAATTCTTACCTTAAAGGCCCAAATAAAGCCTGACAAAGTGTATTTAGAACCATCGCCACGCAAACTCTTGCGGTCATCAAAGGCAAACGACAACTTATTCCAGGTAGCTTTCCATAGATACGAACCCCACGGAAACAGGTTCCATGCATTTAGGTCATCTACCAATAATATTAGGTCCTTAGGAATATGTTGTCTTGCCTCTCTGCCTAAAAAGCCGGCATGCAAAAGTACTAGAAGGCACACTCGGACAACATCGACGTCATCCATCCGAGTAAAACCATCTTTCTTATTAAATAATCTCGTCAAGTAATCGACGTGTAAATTCGGCTTCTCCATTGACAGCTCAGGAAAAACCCGGGATAACCATGATGGGCGAGTAATATGACTAGTGTATCGACCTACATCATCGTGTCCGAAGCGTAGACCAGTAATTAAGCAAAACTCCTCCCGCCCAAAACACGTATACGCCGGTGGAAAATGAAACCATATCTCTTCATTACCACGTTCTATACTCTCGGGTAGATCGCATGTCATGGTCTGAAGCCACAGATGGGTCAACATAGCATCTCCACCCGGATGTTGTACTTTCAGCCATGGCCCGAAGCAAGTATCCTCAAACAATTATCTTTGTACATGTGAAAGCTTCGACGCAATTGTAGTGACTATGCTTATTTTATTCCTTAAGGTCAATTGAGCCGAAAAAAAGTTCTACAAAAACAATAAACATACCAAGTTAGATATACCACAAAAACTACACTATGAAGATATACCAAAACAATAATAAACATAAAGAGTAGTAGTTTATTCTTCAAACTTAAATTTGCAACACTGTGATTTTTGGTTGAAGTAATGCAATTCATTCAAGTTTCAATTTGCAGAAGAATAGTTTCTGAAACTTAAAATCGCAACACGAAAATGAAAATCGCAACGAGAAAATCGCGAAACTAAAATCGCGTTGCGATTTTGTCGTTGCGATTTTCATTTCGCGTTGCGATTCTCGGTTTTAAATAGTCATTGTCTAAAATTGAAACTTGAATGAATTGCATTACTTCAACCAAAAGACAAATACTAACTTCACAGGGTTAAAGACTAAATAATTTAGCCGTATTGACAGCAATCGAATGAATTTAATAAGCAATCTAAGTGAAATGGTTAATCTATTATTGAAATTACCAGTAAACTTATCATCAATTTCAATATGAAAACCTAATAATAATGCAAAAATTTCAAAATAAAAATAATTAAAAAAACTAACCCTCGGTGGTTGATTTGGTTGATTTTCCATTTCTGACCGTGAATGATTGTGAGGGTGGCTCTGAGAGATGGAGATAGATGGATTTCGTCGGAGATGGGGAGGGATTTCGTCGGAGATGAGGACGGATTTCGCCGTAGAGAGTGAGATATGGAGATGGGATTGAGTTGTGATTTAGGGTTTTAGGTTAAGAGTTACGATTACGGGATATTAATATCTGTGTTTGGAATTTGAAAATAAAATACGCGTTGCGATACTAATGGCTCTTTGAAAATCGCATTGCGATTATATATTATCGCATTGCGATTATGTATTATCGCGTTGCGATAGTCAGAATCGCGTTGCGATAGTAAAAATCGCGTTGCGATAGTCAGAATCGCGTTGCGATTCATAGATCGCATTGCGATTTTGTTGGTCATTTTGGCAAATCGAAAAAAAGTTGGTCAAAATCGTATATTATAAGGCATTTTCGGTCACTGAAATTATTTTCTCTTATTGTTATCTTTTGATGTGATTGATACGCGTGACGTTAGGGTAAAGAAGGCGATGACATGGCATAAAAGCGCAGAAGAGGTGTGGTGGACCCCACTTTAGCTCATCAAAGGGCCCTACTTTGTCTCTCTCCTTTGATATTTCCCCTTCTAAGCGACTGCAAACCACGAACTTCCACTAGTGGATAGACATTCATCTAAAAAAGGGTAAATTATAAGATTAATAGCTAAACTATTAGCTTTGGTACATTTTAGTACCTATACTTTCATTTTTTACATAACCATTCTCGCTGTTAAAAATTTAATGACACTGCATTTTATTGGGAAGATTATATCATTAATCCCTCAACTATCTTCTCACTCCTATTTTGATACTAAAGTTAAAATATTTCCAATTTAACTACTCAACTTTCAAGTTGCTACTATTTTAATCACTCTAATTTATTTTATTAATATTTTTGTGACATGATATTTTTATTATTATTTTATTAATATATATTTAAAAATAAAAAAAATTGAAAGTTAGAGTGATTAAATTAGGATTAATTTGAATGTTAAGTAATTAAATTAAAAAATAAACTTTAGAGATCAAAATAAGAGTGAAAACATAGTTTAGTGGTGAATGATGCAAGTTACCCATAGAAAATGTACCACATGCAAATCACTCGTTAAGTTTTTTACGGCGAAGTACTAAAACGAAATAGAAACTAAACATAAGGTATAGTTTTAAAAATTAAAAATTTAGATACTAAAATAGAGAAAAATTAATAGTTTAGATATTAAACACGTACCTAAACAAAAAGAGCCGGGAGAGTGAGGAACCCCGCGCGTGGGATTAAAAATCATAAAATATCTATATACGTTTATCAATTATCCATCCTTTCACCCCGACGCTCAATATCTCCCACAAAATAAACGCACATTTTTTTAATCAGACAAAAGAAAGGCACAAAGTCCAACCACAAGACGCCATGTGTCCAGGAACCCGAGCATTCTCAGCCACAAAATCCCGGACAATTTTCCATGGAAATGGAAAAATTCGGGAAATTGAATCTGACGTGGCGCCCTTCCCTGCTTTTATACACAAACCAAGCGGGTAATTTCAAAAAAAAAAAAAAAAATCTTCTTATTCTTCTGCTCTTTTTTCCACTTCAAGCAAATTTATCTATCTGGACTATATCCAGTTCTCGAGATTTCGCCTTCGCTCAGGTAAGTTCGTGCTTGATCTGCTTCCTATGATATTCGTTGTATGTGAAATACTGTTCATTGGCGAGGAAAGAAGTTGTGTATGTTTGTTTTGAGGTTGAATTAGTTTGATTATAGCTATGACTAATTAATGATTGTTGTTGTTATTTATGGACAGATTTGATGTTCTAAAGAGTGCTTTTGATTTCCTCGGGAGTTGCAGGAGTTGTTCTGGTTTTGACTCCGCAAGATTTGAAGCGAAAATCCGTTTCTGGTGATGGCTACTCAGGTACGTAGCAATCTGTTGTGCTGTTTATTTCGCGGCTTATACTCGCGCTGTGTTGGTGTTATGGGCTCTAGATTTTTTTAATTTCGATAAGATTTTCTGTTTCGAATGAGCAGATTTGTCCATTAAAGCTTTTTTCTATGATATATATTGGGAATGGAATTCGAATACGTTTCTTTGAGCCAAACCCTCTGCTTAGGTGCTAGGATCGGTTAGCTTCAGAAATGCTCCATGTTTTATGAATTGTTTGTAATTTTTGGAATTACATGCCGTTCTTTTTCTTCCGAGTTTTGTGTTTGTTTCTTATGCATAAATCTATCTTTGTGTTTGGTTCAATGTGAATTACCATAGGTTTTAGCATTTACTGTTGTTTGAAAGCTAGACATTGAGATTCATATCGTCATGGTACTAAATTGCGGTCACAACTCACAACGCAACGCAACAGTCTTATCGTAACGGTCTTCAAGGTCACCGCAACCGCATCCGCAGTTTAGAAACATTGTTAGTTTTAGGAAACAAATCAAGCTGTAATGTCAGCAACATTCATGACCGCTACACTAGTACTATGCATATTGTGAATACCGTTCTCTTTTTGTTTAATAGATATTGGAAATTTTGATGCAGGACCAAATTGAAGATGCCATTTCGCCCAATGCTCATAAATCTGGTGTATGCTGTTCCAATGGCAGCTCCCAATCTGAGACATTAAACCAGTTGCAGAAGTTATACACATTTAATCATGACCATACACCCAAGGTTCCTTTCTTCATGTTGACTGTTAATTATGCTTTCCTTTCAAGACTCGTCCCGACATGTTATTGTTAATCTTTAAATGGATATGCTCTAATTTATTCCTTTCCCGTTAAAATAGGCTAGGAAACCCTACACTAGAACCAAACAGCGGGAGAAATGGACTGAGGAAGAGCATCAGAAGTTTCTTGAAGCTTTAAGATTGTATGGTCGCGGTTGGCGCCAAATAGAAGGTAAGTGCACAATGGGGGTGAACCGGTGAAGCAATTTACTTCTTTCTGCCACAACTATGGTTTGAACTGGTTATGTTACCCTTGTTTTCATGCAGAACATATAGGCACCAAATCAGCAGTTCAAATTCGAAGCCATGCTCAAAAGTTTTTCTCTAAGGTTAATTGCTTCTAAGTTCGTTACAAGATTTCCTTGATTAAGATACCAAGAATTCCTTGATTAAGAAAAATGTACTGCATGCTCTATTACCGTGTAATGTGTAGACACTCTTAGGCAGGTTTTTCTTCCGAGTTTGTTCCTGATATGCGTGCTTTTTTTGTTGTGGTTTTAGGTTGTCCGAGATTCAAACGGTGGCTTTGAGGGTTCCATTAAACCGATTGAGATACCACCTCCTCGTCCTAAAAGAAAGCCGGTACATCCATATCCCCGGAAATCTGTCAATTTGGTCAAAGGAAAATCACCATCAACTCAACCAGAGAGATCGCCAACCCCCAACCAATTTTTCAGAGAACAAGAGAACAAATCACCCACGTCAGTTTTGTCCGATGTGATGGGGTCTTCTGCCTTGGAGCAACAAAAGGGATGTTCCTCCCCAACTTCTTGTACTACGAATCTGCAGTCAATCAATACATCCCCTATTGGAAAGGAAACTGACCATGCAACCTCTAACTTATCTACCGAGGAAGAGAAAGCTTATTTGTCGTCTGTGAAAGTTTTTGGTCATTCAGCTGTGGAAAACATTTTCTCCATGGTAAAATTATTGGGTTAAACCTCTGCCTTTGTTTTGTAAAGACATGTTGCCGACCTTTATGACTAATATATTTTTCTTTCATGTATTATCCAGAACAGGAATGCAGATTTGAAGGACTTTGCATGTGCTAAAGCAGACGATGCAGCACCAGTTGCTCCGTCCGCTACTATTAAGCTTTTCGGGAAAACAGTTAAGGTAAAAGTTCCCCTAAACCTCCATAGGTGAAAAAAGTTTTGACTCAAGGACTGCTCAAGAGGATATTGATGCTGTCAGTAAGATGCTTGTTCAGGCATTACCGTCGACATGCTTAGACACAAGCTTGTTACTAGGTACAGTTATCGATAACTGGAGTGCTGTATCTTCCAGAGCTAATATATCTCCTTACATGGAAATCCGGCCAGATAAAAACGACTCTGTAAAATCTACCGATGATGTCCCCCTTCCGTCTTGGGCTTTTTACCAAGGTCTATCCATGGGTTACATTACTTCATTTAATCAAACTCACACAGATTCTGGTGTTGACAGATCCTGTAGTGGCTCAAATACTGGTTCAGTTAGTGAACCAGTAAATAGGAAGGATTCGAATTCCGTCGATTCCAAAAGCCAACATCGTCGTCCCTCACCCCAAAAATGTAGCAAGGGGTTTGTGCCATATAAAAGATGTTTAGCAGAAAGAGACATCATGTTCTCATCCGTTGTGTCTGAAGAACAGGAGAGGCAACTGTTTTAACTGTTTTTGTATATCGGGGCCCTTCAGGTGGCTCATCGGAAGCAGACGTGACGCTGGCAGCTTATCACTGTGGTTCGATACGGCTATGTTTTTCGAGTTGGAACAGCCCACCGTCTGTGTTCGGAGTTGAAACTGTGTTTTTTTTGGTCACTTGAGGCCTCATAAATGTTGAAACCATATTTGTATATGCATGTTCTTGGAGCTAACTTGTTTCACCAAAAAAAAAGTAAATTATACGTTTATTACCTAAAATATCAGTTTTGTCTATTTTAGTATCTAAATTTTTATTTTTTAAAAAATATACTTGAAGTTAGTTTTTGTTTAATTTTAGTAACAGTCGTTAAAATTTTATCGCGTTTAGTAACTAAAATATTAATTTTGACCCGTTTTAGTATCTAAACTTTCAATCTTTTCAAAACGTAATGTTAAATTTTGAATGAAGTAGTAAAATGAAACAATTAAATTTTTTTTACGATGAATGAAATAAAAATTAAACTTTAAATATGATTTTAAAAAAAATTAAAAGTTTAAATGTAAATATAGATCAAAATTGATAGTTTAAATATTAAATGTGTAATTTACCCAAGTTATGTATTAAGGTTTCCATAATTTTTTTTGACCTTTCCAATTTATGAACAATTTGTCTTATCTCCCTCCAACATTAGGCGATTAAGTTCTCTGTATATGGTTTTATCTGTTCACAATAGACAGAATCGTTAATTACAAATATGTTAAAAATACTGGATTGAAAAAGTCGTCTTTTAAATAAATTAGATTAGAAATAAGGATGGTTATGAGGTGGAATAGATCAGTATTTTTTTGTTCTGTTTTAGTACTTAAATTTTATTTTATTTTCAAAATCATATATACCGTTTAGTTTTAGTTTCATTTTGGTATCTCGCCATTAAAAATTTAATGAAACCGTAGTACGTGGTAATTTTTTGTGGGTAAATTACATCATTCATCACTCAACTATCTTCTCACTCTTATTTTGGAGACTAAAATTTAAAATTTTCAATTTAACTACTCAACTTTTAAACTGCTCATATTTTAATCACTCTAATTTATCTTATTAATAGTTTTTACGATATGACATTTTTATTATTATTTTTAATATATATTAAAATAAAAAAATAAATTTGAAAGTTGAGTGGTTAAATTAGAGTAATTTGAAAGTTAAGTAATTACATTAAAAAAATAAACTTAAGTGACCAAAATAAGAGTAAGAAGATAGTTGACTGATGAATGATATAATTTACCCATAAAAAATGCATCGTACAATTTTTAACGGCGAGATACTAAAACGAAACAAAAAGTAAGCGTTAGACATTATTTTGAAAAATAATGAAAGTTTAAGTATTAAAACTGGGCAAAAGTAATATAGTTTAAGTACTAAACATGTAATTTACCTATAATCTTATTAGCAAAGACAATACAAATGATTCGGTGAAAAATTGAAAGAAGGAAATAAATTGAAAACAAGATTCAGACACAACAACGGGGAATAAGTGCAACACTGCAATCACTAGGCCTATATACTCATCTTCAAGATCATGGCAGCTGATCGGCCCGATCCCCGTTCGGCAACCGCTTCCTAAGACCTTTTAACGGCGAGACTAACCCGTCATCTAACAAACACAACTCACATTTTACAAATATTTGACAAATACATTCAGACACTGAAACAACATTCATTCACCTATCTGGTGTTTTGGTTCTTCCATTAGTTACAAGCACACCTCAACTTAGATTACGAGCCAGCCATTATTCACACCCTTTTACCCTAATGGTTTGCTCCCAGAAGTGAAGGAAGAAATGTCCTGTAATGGCCCGATGTTTCCGAGTGAACGGCGTCGTTCAAAGTCTTTTCGTATTTCCTCAGATACTCGGCTTTTATATAGTGCATATCGATCTCGGTTCTCGTCACGATTACCCTTATAACTGTAGTGTCAGCGGTTCCCGGACCTTTCATTGCATCATGCAGTACCTACATAATTGCACAAAGTTGAGGATTAAAGATGATGTTCCAACAATGCAACCAAAATGCATCATAGGAAACTGGAAGCACCATTTTTTACCAGACCAACGGGCCTCAAGCCCAACTACCCAAACCCAAAATAAAACCTAAAACCAAAATAGACCCAAACCGAACCGATCCAAAACAAACCCGACTTGGGTATGTAGCCATCCCAAGCCCCAATCAACAATGCAACCAAAATGCAGCATAGGAAACAAAAGCTATTAAGCTTTAGGATAAAAACTATATAATACCTTAGCAAAAACGCCTGCCTAATGACCATTGCATCGTGATCTGCCGGATCATGCATCCATAGCAAGACAGCTCTCTGAAAAGGAAAAAAAAAAACATCAATGATGAGATTTATAAGGTAGTGCAGGAGAAAGGGGAAAAGGTCTCGCGCCTGAAAATACGAGAAGTTATATACTGGTATCCTTAATATACAACTAAAAAAGCGTTACCGATTTTGTTATATCGATAAAAAAATTACCTAAAACATTATTATTTCCAACAATAACAAAACCGATAGAAAAAATAACAAAACGAGTAAAATGTTCAATAATAACAAAACCGGTAGAAATAATAATATTTCCGGTAATTTTTTTTACCGATTTTGATATTTAAATAATAACAAAACCGATAGCGTTTTTTAGCCGTATATTAAGACTGTCGCACGTGATCATTTCCCTGAAAACACAGAAACTGAACTTAAAACTCGATTCTACTAAAAAATCGATCTTTTTGACTTGGTTCCTTTAAAAAATTAATTTGAACTCACTTTAAGTTGTAATTTTATAAATTCGACTAAAAAAATTCAAATTCATGTTAAATTATAAAATAGAATTCAAATAACTTGAATACTAACTCAAATTTTTTAATAATTAATGGATTAATTTTCAAGTTTGAGTCGAGTCTCTCGAGTCTCTCGATTCTATATGATATATGTATACCGCATATGAAAAAAATATAAAGAAATATATATATGTATTGTACATAGTTATAGAAACAATTTAAATTAGAATCAAATATATATAATATATGAATATTTATAATTAAATTTAAACAGAAACTCAAACAATACGAGTCGAATCAAATTTTATTAACACTATTAATTAATTTTTAAATAAATTTTGAGTTGTAAAATAAGTATTATCAATTCAAATAATTCGAATATTTTTTTAACACAGTTATGAGTAATGCCAGATGTACGTTTAGTTTAAAAGTTGGTCCATCCTAAAAAAAATATTTAGGGATGCACCTGAACAATACATTACTTGAAGGGTAATTCTGTCTCTTTCCCTCCTATTTTCCATGTAGGGAAAAAAGTTGAACCAATTTAAACGATAAGAAAATCTGTCTTAAATTGGAGGGTAAATTATACGTTTAGTATCTAATTTACTATTATTATTTTATTTTAATATTTTTTTAAAATCATATTTAATATTAGTTTAAGTTTCAATTTAGTACATATCATTAAATATTTAGCGATAGTGATGGTGTGAATTATTTCACTTTTTCGTTATTCCATGCATGTTGTAATGTAAATTTCACATCATCGATGTAAATTTTTAACGGTATATACCAAATTAAAACATAAACTAAACATAATATGTGATTTTAAAAATAAATAAAATTCAAGTACTAAAACAAAAAATAATTTAATTACTATATAAAAAAAAAATGGCTGTCCCTTTTTCCCATATGTATGGGGTAAGGGGGAGGTAAGATAGTAGGCTACCCCCAACACCAGGTTGAGAGCAGCTTCCGTTAGAGACCTCCGAATTATGAAATGCCCTCCGTGGGACTCGATCCCACGACCTCAAGGTTAAGAACCTTGCTCTAACAACTGAGCTGGATGGTCATTTCAATTTATTACTATATATACCCAAAATTCAAAGAATGAACTCTATTTAAACAGAAGAATGGGACCATAGATAGGAATTTTAGGGATTTGTTTTTTTTTTATAATTTAAGAGAAATTAATTTTTTTTAAAATTATAATGATATTTTTATTTTTAAAAATAAATTTCAAAATTATCAGAATATGACACATGATACTTAGCGAAGAAAGCTAACGATAGTTTACTGTCCGAGCATCTAAGTAGTTGCGGAACTTGGTGATAAAATTTTGGGGCATAACTTAAAATATTTGGAAGTTTAAATTAAAATTTTCAATATTTGAAGGGTTTAATTTTTATTTTTCCAAAATATAGGTTCTAACTAAATTTTTGAAAATTTGAGAGGCTTAATGATAATTTTTTAAAATTATGGGAGGGGATTTAATTAAGAACATTAAAATTTTTTAAAGTTTAATTTGAATTTTTAAAAATTTTGGGGACTAAATTATTTTTTGAAAATTTAAAGGATTTAAATTATAAATTTTTTAAAGTTTGGGGTGCCATGGCCCCACTAGCCCTGCTTATTTCCGTCTCTGACCCAAAATGATAAGGTTGTAACATTAGATACTTGAATCATTTAAAAATAATTTAGACATTTATTTGTGAAAAACAATAGTTTCAACACTTATTTTATAATTAAACATAATATTTTGTTAAATTTAATAATTATTTTATTTTTTAAAATATAATTGTTAAAGTGATCATTTCAGTATAGTTTAGGTACCTCTAATGTATTTTACCCTTGATAATTTGTGCTATTACGTGCCATGGCAGGCTCGAGAAAATTGCAGGCCAACAACCAAGACTTCAATATCCCCCAGAAAGGGAGAAGAAAATACAAGCTGAAGAGAGAAAACGAAAAGAGCAAGGCAAACTTGAAGGAAAACCCATTGTAATTTTTCAGGCATTTGAAGGTTAATGTAGAATAGGGCCATGGAATCCAAAGCCAACAACAGAGATCGCCTTGATTGCTCTTCTTCTTCTTCTTCTTCTTCACAATCGATCTGTAAGTTCTTTGTTATTTTTTTAAAATATTTTTTTAGGTTTTTCGAATCTCTTTTCGGTTAGGCCGACCAATTAAAGTTTGAATCTCAGTTTTTGTATGGGTTTTTGGTTGGAGCTCTGGATCTTGTCGTTATTCGATTTTTGATTCACGAGATTGGGAATTCCTCTAGGTCTGGGAAAATGCATCAATGTTATGGATTGTTTTTCGAAATTAGAGGCGGAGTTTTAAGAGGGAAAATGGAAAACATACTATTCAGTAGTAAGGAAAAAATAACGGAATGATAAACGTTGATTTTT